AGTGAATCGACCAATATGCTCCACGGTCGACTGGAGTCCATCTCCTGAAAATAATGCAAAATCCAGAACTTTGAATCCTCGCGGAAATTCCTCTTGATCAAAATGCTCCGGATACCATGGCGGTGGCCAACCATGTTTTACTCCAAACTTGGAGCCCATCTTGTTCTTGACTTGGATCGTGCCATTTTGTTGGCAATGGGTTGAAATACTAGGATGACTAGAACTACCCGGATGACTTCTGGCCATCACTTTGGCTGACCTGTCATGCCCCCCAAGTCCATTTGGTCGGCCAATCTTGGCCTTTGGCTGGGGCTCAATAAACTTGACCACTTGCAATTGTGGTATCACAATGTTGAGTTTTTCTCCTACAATCATGTCTATTATTTTTGCATCTTGAGTCGTGCTCCGACCTTCTTCTTCACTAGATCGTAGGCCATTACATCCTAAGATGGTTGCCTTGGGTTGGACCATATTGCACATATCATTGGTGACCACCTTTTGGGTCTCATCCCCTTGGGTGGACTCATTTTCCTCAACCAATGTCAGATTCTCAATAGGAAGGTCGCCTTGAATATTTGATTTTAAAGTCATCTCGCCCACCTCTTTCTCACCCTCACGTTCTCTACAAACCTCATTTTTCCATAGAGGAGTAGGTGGAACGGGTGGCCTAATTGCAACCATATCAGGATTTTCCTCCTGTGATTGAGAAATAAGGTTAGGGTTGAGGGTTTGCCCCTCGGCTCGTTGGCTAAGTTGAGATGAAATCCTATGTAAACCTTGGACGAGAAGTTCGTTGGAAGTTTGTACAAACTCTTTTAATACAACTTCCATATTAGATGTCATCTCATTTATATATTCTTCCACCATGTGGGTATGGCCACTAGATGGCATCTCACTCATCTTAAGATTATGTTGGCCACCAAAGTCAATTGGATGATTTGCTTGGTGGGAATAATAATTAAGTTGATCATAGATATTGTCCGGATTATTTTGGCCATCTGGGTAAGTGTATTGCTCCCATGCCACTTGATTAGTTTGGCCACCAAAGCCATTTTGATTATTCGAACCATTTTGGCTCATAAGATCATATCCGCCAATATAGTTGTGCCCACCATATTGGCCACAAAATCCGCCAACATAGTTGTGCCTATCATATTGGCTACCAAATTGACTACTTGAGTCATATTGATTGTTAAGCCCACCTTGATGGGTAAAATTATATTGGCCAGAGTGGTTGTGGTCACCATGTTGGCCGATGGATTGGTTACTCGAGCCATAAGAATCATAGCCGTTGTAGTTCATCGGCTGGTAGGAATGTTGCCATTCCTTTCGGTCGCTCATATAGTGTAGTCCCACTGGGCGTGCCAAATTATGTTTCCCTTTTTTCGGCCGTGTAGGCCGATTGAAGGAGTTTTTTGGTCCTTCTTCTCTTGAGATGCGTAGGCGTGCCACCACCAAGCCTTGGATGGAAAGATCGTGTGAGTGTGTTTGCGCTTCTGACTTTTAATCAAACGATTGATCGGCCAAGCAAGGAACCTCCTCTTGGCCTAGGTTCTTTTTCTTCCTTGAGGTCAAGGATGATTGAACTTTGTATGACTATTTTTAGGATTTTTGTGATAAGCGTAATGAACGTAAATGCAATAAAAGAAATGACAGAAATGTAAGTGCGATAAACGAAATGACAGAAATGTAAATGCGATAAAATAGATTAAAGCGATAAAGACTTGAATTAAATTCGAATGTAAAGACAATTGAAATTAAATTGCAAGAAAGTAAGCTTACACTAGGAAAACGAAGAACTTGGATAATCTGAAAAGCTTGAAAGATAAAATCCTAGACTATGAATTGAAAAGTACAGGATAAAGAGATAGATTTTGTGTGTTTTGTCGGAGGTCCTCTTCTCTTCTTTTGATGAGCTATTTATAAAGCTTTCCTCAGCTCATGGGTTTGGCCATACAACTAACTCTGTCTTGAAAATCCTCCCGATGTTAATGCCTTCCGGAGCTCTAGGCGCGAACTACCCGATGTCTTGGAAATCTTCCCAATATTAATGCTTTCCGGAGCTCTAGGCACGAACTACCCGATGTCTTGGAAATCCTCCCAATGTTAATGCTTTCCTGTCTTTAAACTCCGCCACTTGTAGGAAAACATCTGCTGAAAACATCTACTAGAAAACATCTGCTAGAAAACATCTGCTAAAAACATCTGCTGGAAAACATCTGCTGGAACTTCTGAACTTAGTTTCGTAGGCTGAGCTTTGGTTTCCAATCTGGCCGCATGTCTTCATTCCCTTATTTATATTCATATACATATTATACTATCATGAAGTAGGATAGGGAGGGCTCAAGCAAAAACCCTCCAGCCACAACAATTCTAATATTCCAAACTAAAAGACTCGGCCGCCACACCTTTGCCCAAGAACCCGGCCGCATTTTTTCAGCTCCTAGCCCGGCCGATTTCTCCAAGGTGCCTGGGTGAATTATCCCACCTCCACACGTTCATTCACTTTATATATATATATAAAATAAGTCAATTAATTCCCAACTCAAAACCCTTCTAGCCCGGTTTGCAAAGGAACCAAATACCCCGGCCGCCATTCTCCAAAACTGTGTTTGCTCCAAACCAAAAAATCCGGCCGCAACTTCTACAAAATCCCGCCCAACTTCTACAAAATCCCGCCGAGATATCCTAGTAATTCCAGCCGTGCCCCACCGCACCTTTGCAATTTGCTTTACAAAAACTTTTTGGCCACATCAATTCCAAAGAACTCCAAGCTTTGGCCGTATTCATGCATGCATCCACCCATTTATATATATAAATAAATATATTATCATGAAACATGACATGGAGGGCTTAAAACTTTCCAGCCACCACTCATGCATATTCATTTATTTATATATGCTTATAATATATAATAAAATAGGACAAGGAGGGTTTAAACAAAAACCCTCCAGCCACACACTTGCAGAAGCATCAACTCTAAAATCTCGGACGCAAACAGACCAAAATTTGGACCCTCCAAACCCCAAGTCTCAGCCGCCAACTTTCAAAAGCCCAGCCACCTTTTAGCCTTCAGCCATATTCTAACAACCCCCGGCCGCATTTCACAATAGACCCGGCCGTGCTCTCCCAACCAAGTAGAAAATCGGCCGCATTTTTTCCACACCCTGGGCCGCATCTCAAGCCTCTCACCCCGGCCGACTTCTATTCTTTACACCCAACCAATTCTCTATTTCCAAAAGGCACTCGGGTTTGGTGAATTCTCACCACCACCAAACATTGCCCCCTCGATTTGTTTAGCTCTGAATTGGTGTAGAGGTAAGCAAATTGAAACCCAAGACCATATATCTTTTGTAAGAAGTCCTCTTATGTGGCCCGTTCTTCCAATAAAAACATTGTTTTATTATGAGATGGTTCTTTGCGGCTGACTATCTCTCCGCCATTTCCCAAGCCGTTGGGTAATATTTCTTCAAAAAAGGGCCATTAATGGGTGAATCATGGAGACGATCATTCTCATAACTCAACCTATATGCTCCTTTTCCTAAAACTTGGTTGACGATGAAAGGTCCCTCCCAGGTTGGAGACTATTTACCAAAACTACGATCTTTCGTTCCTAATGGTAGAATAGTTTTCCATACTAAATCTCCAACCCCGAAACTCTTGGCTTTAGTCTTCTTATGATACGCCTTGGCCACCTTTTCTTTTTGGGCCTTTAATTTATCTAAAGCCTCAAGTCGGACTTCGTCGAGATCATCTAGCTCTTGAGCCATCGCCTGGTTATACTCATCCTTACTCCATTCAGCATGGCGAGCCACCCTTAAAGACTTTACCGAAATCTCGAGGGGTAGATGGCATCATGGCCGTATGTGAGTGCGAATGGCGTCGTCCCTGTGCCATACCTTTTAGAGGTCCTATACGCCCAAAGGGTATTGGAGAGGAGAGAATGCCATTCTTTAGGATTTTTCTCAATCATTTTTTCCAAAATCCCTTTTATCACTTTGTTGCTGGCCTCAGCTTGACCATTTGATTGAGGATTGTATGGGGTGGACTGAACCATCCTAACTCCCCAATTTTTTGCGGTTGCTTTGATAGCTTCTCCCACGAAAGCCGTTCCTCGGTCAGTCATGATAGACTCTGGTAATCCGAATCGATGGTTGATAGTTTTCTCAATAAACTCTATCACCTCAGCTTGGGTAACTTGCTTGAGTGGTATGGCCTCTACCCATTTTGTAAAGAAGTCTGTGGCCACTAAAATGAACTTGTGTCCCTTGGACGATTTCGGGTGGATCTGGCCAATTACATCCATCGCCCAACCCTTGAAAGGCCAAGGCTTCACAATAGGATTCATGGGCCCGGCCGGAACATGCTGAACCGGACCATGCATTTGACAACCTTGGCATCCTTTGGCATAATCAATGCAATCCTTCAGGATGGTTGGCCAATAATACCCATGCCTCCTTAGCAACCATCTCATCTTGATGCCTGCTTGATGAGCTCAGCATATTCCTTCATGAACCTCAATCATAACCACCATCTGATCAATCTTTCCCAGACATTTCATGAGTAAGTCGTCAGAACCAATACGAAAAAGCTCTTTGTCCCTGAGCACATAGCTTATGGCCCTTTGCCGAACCTGCCGGCAATGCGAACCACTTGGACATTTCAGATACTCCACGATGTCGTGTCTCCAGTCATCTGGAGCTATAGTCAATGCCATGACCTCCATTGGTATTCCTCTTTCAAAAACCGAGGGCAACGATCGTTTTTCAACTTTGAATAATTCCTCAGAAAGCCCTTCAGAGATCTGAACCCCAGAAGCCAATTGGGCCATTGCATTGGCCTGTGAGTTGTGCTCCCGTGGTAGATGAGCGAGTCTCACTTCATCAAAACCTTCTATTAGTTGGCTGGCCAAGGCATGATAGCAGAGCAATAGTTGGCTGGTTACCTTATAGTCGCCGGATAGTTGTTTCAGAACCAACATCGAATCCCCCATGATTGACACATTATTTATTCCAAGTTCTCTCAAAATCTCCAACCCAATGATCAAGGCCTCATATTCGGCCTGATTGTTGGTACAATCAAAGTCTAATTGAAATGAATAACGAGTTCGGAATCCTTGGGGTGATTCAATGATGACACCTGCTCCCCCCATATTTGATGTTCGAGATCCGTCGAAATAGAGACGCCATGGGAATAAACTTATCATGTCGACTTTGAAGAAGTCCATGTCTTCTATTTCAACACAAGGGTGAGAGGCCAAGAAATCAGCCAAAGCTTGCCCCTTGACGGCTTGCTGAGGTACGTATCGGAAGGTGAATTCTGCCAATGCTATCGTCCATTTTCCAATCCGCCCTCTAATGATTGGCCGAGTGAGCATGTACTTGATCAAATCAGTCTTGGCGATTATATGCACCACAAAAGGCAACATATAGTGCCTCAACTTGGTTGCGGTGAAGTATAAGGCTAAACAAAGTTTCTCCACCGGTTAATACTTTCTCTCGGTGTCCATTAAAATTCAGCTTAGGTAGTACACTGCTTGCTCCTTTTTCTCATCGTTGTCTTGGGCCAAAAGACTTCCGATGAAATTTTCTGCGGCTGAATATATAACTTCAAAGGTCAGCCTCGCTTCGGCGGGATTAGCACCGATGGCTTGTGTTGTGTAAATACAGCTGCACCAAAATGGATTCAGTTGCATCCTCAACTTGTGATACTCGCAAGTGCACGAGCCGTTTGGTAGTATAGCATAT